AAGAAGAAGAAGAAGAAGAAGAAGAAGAAGAAGAAGAAGAAGAAGAAGAAGAAGAAGAAGAAGAAGAAGAAGAACAACAACAACAACAACAACAAGATGAAGAAGAGGACGATGACGAAGAAGAAGTAGAGGACGCCAAAGAAGAAGAGGATGACGAAGAAGAAGAGGACGACTAAGAAGAGGACGAACAAGAAGAGGAAGAGAAGAAGAGGATGAAGAAGAGGACGGAGAAGAGGACGAAGAGGAGGACGAAGAAGAGGACCAAGAAGAAGAGGACCAAGAAGAAGAGGACCAAGAAGAAGAGGACCGCGAAGAAGAAGAAGACGAAGAAGAGGAGAAGATAGAGGAGGAGAAGATGGAGGTGGACTACAAGGACGACGACGAAGAAGAAGTAAAAGACGAAGAAGAACAAATTTGAGAAGAAGAAGAAGAAGAAGAAGAAGTAGAAGAAGAAGAAGAAGATGATGAAGAAGAACAGGAGGACGACCCGAAGGAGGGGGAGCAGGAGGTAGAGGAGGAGGAGGAAGAGGAGGGGTTGTGGTGCACACTTACCTCGATATGGCGGTGGAGATGGTGGGGCTGGAGTGCCGCGTCCTCGCAAGGGCACACACATGCTCGTCGTCGCGAGGGCGGCACTATCAGGCAGGCGGGGCCGGGGCGGGGGCGGCGGTGGGCGCGGGCGGGCGGTACCCCCCCCTGCAGTGATTTGAATTTCAAATTTGAATCTAGCCCGATCTGGGCCGTCGATCGGATCGATCGGACGGCCCAGGTGGGGCCTTTTTCGTTTCATTTTCTCAGGGCCTGCTGGCCTCGGACTGTGGGGACCGAGGTCCAGCAGGACCCCTTAACTTAAGCACTGCCCTCCCATGCCCCCCAAAGCCCCTAAGAGGCCTGGCCTCTATTTTCCGTGGGGGCTGGACCTCTGTTGGACAGCGGACCACCGACCCGGTAGTCGGTCGGACGTTCCGGACGTCCCGGGGTGGAATGGACAGTTAGTTTTTTCTTTCTTTTTTTTTTTCCTGACTATGGTGTTCCCCTGAAGACAGTTTAACCTCCTCGTCAACACACTGTGTTGGAATGGACAGTTAGTTTAGCATGAACCTGGTACAGATATTGGTCATGATTAGGGTGCAATGTGTTTGGAGGAAGACTGGAGTTAGTAGCTTTCTCAGGAGTAACTGGCTGTTGCTCTCCTAAGCACCAGGGCCCATTGTGCTAAGTAAGCAATTAGCATGAACCTGACCAACTTCTAGACCAGGTTCATGCTTTGTGAGTGTTGTCAGACCCCAAGACGACCCATCTGCTTAGTTGCATAAGGAACGTGGAGACCACTCTGAAACTACTAACTACATAGTAACTAAGGGACTTGCTAACTACTCAGTTATGGACACTCGTACTAACCACATAGTAACTAAGGGACTTGCTGTCTACTCAGCTACGGAGGAATGTCCTCAGCTACTAAATTACCAGCTCCGTACATACTGGGGGGCCAAAACTACTTTGGGTATCCAGTTACTAAGGGAGTTACTTATTTACTAAGGAAGTTACTTTAGTTACTAAGGGAGTTACTTAGTTACAAAGGGAGTTAGTTAGTTACTCAGTTGCTGAATTACTGAGGGAGTTACAGTTACCAGTTACTGAGGGAAGTTAACTACTTTTGCTATTCAGTTAGTAAGGGAGTTACCTAGTTGCTATGGAAGTTAGTCAGTTAGTCTGTTAGTTAGTTAACTAGTTAGTTACTAAGGGAGTTACTAAGGGAGTTACTAGTTACTGAGGGAGCTAAACTACTTTTGCTATTCAGTTACAACTGATTCACTTAGTTACTAAGGTAGCTAGTTAGTTACTTAGTTACTTAGTTACTTAGTTATTTAGTTACTTAGTTAGTTACCAAGGGAGTTACTAGTTACTGAGGGAGTTAGTTACTTAGTTACTGTGGGAGTTAGTTAGTTACTTAGTTACTAAGGAAGTTACGTAATTAGTTACGAAGGCAGTTACGTAGTTAGTTAGCTAAGGTACTTACGTAGTTAGCTACTCTCTTACTAAGGGACTTACTTAGTTACTTCCCCCCACCTGTTCCTTCTCCAGCTACCGCTATCAAATCCACAGAAAATGGCCTCTCTAACCCTGTCCCTTGTCCTACTTGACTTAGGGCTTCATTAGACACTCCTCGGGGACGTGATTCCAAGGATTTCGTCTTCGTTCCACCTGTCCTCGGAGATGAAATCAGAAATGAAAATGTGAAACCACTCCGAGGACAAATCCTTGGGCTCCGAGGATTTACCAGCCAAATCGTCCTCGGCTCCGAAGGACCTCGCGAGGTCCTTTGGGGCCCGAGGATCCGTGTTTCACGGAGAGGAGAGGACATGCACGTACAGAGACGTTACAACCAAGAATTCGGATCGTGGCGGCACCCTATTGGCTGAACGCCTGAAGCACAACTTTTTTTCTTTTTTTTTTCCTTTTTTTTTCTGACATTGCTCCGAGGACGAGTCCTAAAGCCAATGCTCCGAGGATGAGTGGGACGAAGACGACAAAACACTAAACTTTTCCGAGGATTCATCCTTGGAGCCCGAGGATGCCCTGAGGAGTGTCTAACGACGCCCTTACTTAGTTACTTTCCCCCATCTGTTCCCTCTCCAGCTCCCACTATCGAATCCACGAAAAACGGCCACTCTCCCCTGTCTTCTCCTACTTCTTTTAGTGTAAACTCCTCTCCAATTACCTCCCCCTTTTTCCCCTCTCTGCCGAGTTCCAAGGGCTCTTTCCCCCCCACCATTTCTCCTTCCCCTCCTCCTCAATCCCTTCCGAATTCTCATTCCGCCACCTAACCCCTCTCCATCCCCATCTGTAAAGTCTCCAAGGCCCTTTTTCGTCCCTTCCTCCCCCTCCCCCTCCCCCTCCCCCTCCCCCTACCCCTACCTCTACCCCACAACACTCGTCCCTGCCCCCTCCCAACCTCCATACTCTTTGATCATGCTTCCTACTCCAAGCCCCCTGCTGCTACCAACTTTGTGGAGATTCAATCTGTCCCACACCATCTCCTCCTGGGCCCTTGTTTTGAAACACCCTCCCATTCCAGTACACCCCTTTCTGTGGCCTGCCGTCTCGGTCATCGCACAAAATGTGAGTAGAAGTACTGATCAGCACTTGAGGAGTCATCCCCCAGCCAATCGTCCCATTGCACCACTCACCTTCTTTTTTCTTTTTCTTTTTTTCTTTCTTTTTTAAGGTTTTTTTNTTTTTTTTTTTTTTTTTTTTTTTTTTTTTTTTGGGGGGGGGGGAGGAGGCAAATGCTTCAGTCTATTTGTGGGGAGCAGCACGTGCTGGGAACCGGGCCCAGCGTCCCATATATAGTCACACAAGTCGTTTGAGATACCGGGGCCATTACCCGGCTTCGGCTGAGAATCAATCTGAGAACTATTGAGAACTATTGAAGAAATTCAAGAGAATTAAAAAGAGGTTGAAAAACTATGAATGACTACCGACCTCTTTTCGAATGCTCAGAACCCCTAGGCTCCCAAACAAAACTCTCTAAGACAATCCGACACTGTCTTATTCCCTGTCGAGCTCTCCCAGGCCTCACACTCCCACCCGGCTAGGTTACAGAGCAACACGACTCGCCCCAGCTCCGGCCAGCGTCGTCCCAACAGCAACCCTTGGTTGTCCCTTGGAATGCCCACCCCAAAGCATCCCCAGATCTCTCTACCAGGCCTCACRCTCCTGCAGTCAGCAGGTTACAGGGCGACACCCCAGCACCGGCCAGCGTCGTTCTGGCATCGAACAACCGCAGATCCATGAATGTACCAGTATCTAACAGCCTAAAGAGAGTTGCTAGAAGTTCCCAGAATCCTAAAGCATTCTCAGAACCACCTGTAAACAAACCTTGTTTTGAAGATATCCTCGAGATACCGGGGCTATTACCCGGCTTCGACTTTTTTTTTTTACAAGAACACTGAAATACTGTCTCCCCCAAAGCTCGGATCAAAGAAGCATTCAGAGAAAAAACACCTGCCTTAGGGCCTTTCAGCAGCCCAACCCTTACCTGCGTCACCCCTATATCCCTCTCAGCATTCCATTAAAAAAAAAAAAAAAACGGTTGATGTTCCTGCTTGCTTCTTTCAGCAGACAAAGTTGGAGTAAGAACGGATTGTGTAGAAGAGGGGAGTTGTTTTTTTTTTTTGTTTTTTTTTTTTATAAGAGGGGAGTTTGCCTTGCATGGGAACTAAGTGAGATGGAAAAAACAAAAAAAGTAAGACAAGTTAGTGAACGCGGGAGAGGGACAGGGAGGAAAACCCCAGGGTTGTCAAGAGCTTTCTTTTTTAAACCACCAGTACTTGGCCCGGCTATTGGCCGCGGAAAAAAATAAGAGTAGAAATGTTTCTAGTCGGACGAATTTGGTCGCTCCTGTAGTGGCCCGTACGTCTCCTAAAATCATGGCTTGTTAACGGGCATGACTTTAGGAAGTACTGGCGGTTAACAAGGGCGTTCATTTTTTCGTTGGCACCGGCGCTCATAATTGGAAGCCTTGGGCACCCTCATATGGTTCGTTTGCCTGCTGTTTTTGGTTCCTCCCTCTTGGTCATTTCTCAGATTAGGTCTATCGCCACCAGCGGGGGATCGCATCACGGGCTCCATCATGAATGGTATGAGGATTCTAGAGTCTGCTCATCTGTTTTCGTTCCCTCGCTTGCGCCAGCCACCACGACGGCCGGCGTTCTTGCTGCAGAGCTCGTGTTCTGCTGGTCCAAAGCAATCACATGCCTGCAATCCAGATTCTACCCAAGTCACGGGCACATCGTTGTCGTCATCGACAACTTTCGCAACGTCTGTTCCACAACCCTCCCATGCCCAAGCTGGTGCATTGCCGTCGTCATTGGCACCGTCGGCATCGTCTTCATCATCGGCACTGCTGTCGTCGTCTCCCCTGGCCCTTCAGCATGTGGTCCCCACTCCTGGCAAGAGTCCGCTAGTCAATTGCAAGGGCCGTCAAGATATGCAGTCCAAGGAAGACAGAGGCCAGCACGACCAGCATGGCACGCTTTTCCAAAGTGATAATGACTTTCGTCGTCGTAATACGACGATCCATAACGTACAACCGCTCCTACACATGTCTATCCTAAGGGCTGGCTCTTTGAAGACTGACGAAAGAGGATGTAGAAGCGCTTGCGACACTGATCCTTGCTTCGCGGTGGCAACAACGACCACCGCCCAAAGCACTCCTTGCGCGCCAGACAACACCTTGCGCCAGTCGTCCGCGACGACGTTGTCGGATCCGTTGATGATTGCTCAGGAGATTGGGTGGATGGAGGCGGTTCTGAGGGCTTACAGTACATTGCAGAAGGAGTTGAATCGATCTCGCGCTGACTTGGCGAACGAGTTAAATCAGTCTCGCGCGGAGTTGGCGACCCATGTGTCCCGATCATCGTCAGCTCCGAATGCAGGACGAGGGGAGCATGATGAGGAGGGTGCAACTAACCCCATAAGAGTGTGGCAGCTGCAGCAAAAAATTCTGGCACTTGAACAGCGACAAGCGGTGCAATTTCCGATGGTCAAAGGGGTGGCTTTGCGGATACAGCAAATGCGCGGCCTGGCCTGCGGGAAATAAAATCTGGCATGCTTGGAATGAAAAAAGGCAAGGCAGCAGGACGCTTCAACAAGAAAGCATTGCAGCTGCATCAAAAACAATTCTGGCACTTGAACAGTGACAAGCGGTGCAGCTTCCGATGGTCAAAGGTGTGGCTTTGCGGTGATAAAGCAAATGCGCGGCATGGCCTGTGGTGAAGAAAAAACTGGCGTGCTTGGAGTGAAAAAGACAAGGCAGCACGACCCTTCAACAAGAAAGCACTGCAGCTGCAGCAAAAAATTATGGCACTGGAACAGCGACAAGCAGTGCAGTTTCCGATGGTCGAAAGGTGTGGCTTTGCGGTTATAAAGCAAATGCGCGGTATGGCCTGCGGTAAAGAAAAAACTGGCGTGCTTGGAGTGAAAAAAAGGCAGCAGGACGCTTCAACAAGAACCCCCAAGAACCCCCCGCTACCCCTCGGCAGCTGCTGGAGCAAAAGTTTCTGGCACTGGATGTTAGATGGTGGAGCTTCTTTCTGTCAAAAAAAAAAAAAAAAAAAAAAAAAAAAAAAAAAAAAAGATGGTCAAAGGCGTGGCTTTGTGGTTATAAAGCAGATGTGAGGCATGGCCTGCGAGGGGTGGAAAATAACAAAAAAGAACTGGCATCCTTGGAATGAAAAGGCGGCAGGACGCTTCAACATGAAAGCGTTGTAGCTGGAGCAAAAGATTGTGGCTTATGAACATCAACAAGGGGTGCAGTTTTCTTTGGGGATGAAACAAATGCATGGCATGGCTTGGCCTGCAGCTAGCAACGGGAACCGATCGTCCTGATCGTCGTAAACTTTTGAACACCTGGTTTTGCAAATCCATTCCGACGGTTTATCGGCGTGGAAAAATACAGCGGTCTTCTTGCAATGAAGTCACCGGGGCGCTTTGACAAGGAACCATTGCAAGGCGACGATGTGAGTTATGAAGGCAAGTTTGATAGACCGGCAAGGAGGAGTGACTGTCTCGTCAGTGACACAAAGGTTGTTGTTGCTTTGCCACTGTAAACCAAGGAGAGTGCAGACGGTGCGAAGGCAGTTGTTGCCGTGCAGCTATATGAACGAAGGAACGTGCAGAAGGTGTGGGGATGGAGATGGGAGACGATTCTAGTACCGTCTTCACACGGATACAACGTATGTACGGTCCTTATTGCTGTCTGAACAAAGGAACGTGCAGAACGTGTAGAGGTGGAGATGGAAGGTGATTCTAGTACCGTCTTCGCACGAATACAACGTACGTACGGTCATTATTGCTGTATGAACCAAGGAAAGTGCAGAAGGTGTAAAGATGGAGATGGGAGGCGATTCTGGCACTGTCTTCATGCTAATACAACGTACGTACGGTCATTATTGCTGTATCTAGACTCAAAGTTGTCCTAAATACATACACAGCTATAATGACCGTACATTGTATTCGGGTGAAGACAGTAGTGCTTTCTCCCTCCTACTGTCTTCACTTGAGCAGAATGCGCAGTCATGATGCCCTATCTGGATTGAAATTTACGCCAAATACGGCTATAATGACCAGGCGTTCTCTTCGGGTGAAGACTTGTAGGGGGCCTGTGTCCTGCCAAAGCGAGGACGGTGGGTCTTCGCCGTCAATAGTTTTTGAGAATTGGGCCGCTGATGAGTCATGAATTGTTCCATGAACTTACTTCAATTCCTGTAACAGGGTTTTCTTTTTTTTTTCTTTTCTAAAGTTTTTTTCTATTTATCTATTTTTCTTTTTTCCTTTTTGCAAAACATCTGGATACAGCAATAATGATGACCACACATTCTATTTGTGGGAAGACCCTAGCCTTGTGTGTAAACACACACACACACACACACACACACACACACACACACACACACACACACACACACACATCCTCCAGCTTGATGATATGCTCCAGCTCTGTGTTGATTCTTCAAATACGGCAAGCGGTCTCCAAACTTCAGTCTCCTTGGGGCTGACTCCACTTTCATCCACCGTCGTCGACACTCGGCAACTCGCAAGAGCTCTCCAGCCTCGTAAGGGCATCAGCTATGGAGTACCTCATGTGGAAGACAGGGAAAATGTTCAAATAGCAGCCACCGCCACTATTCTCCCTTTTTCTCTGTATCTCAGGCCGGATGCCACGTCAGCCTGTGACGTGGCACTGGCCAAGTGCCTCCAGACTCCCAGCGTATGTAAGGCGCTGTCACCTCTCCAATCAACCTCATCACAGAGTCCATGCATCAATGCCTCCCTCGCGCGGACAGCTTGCGATAAGCCAGGTGTCAGACACCGTCACACTACACACCCTGAGCCAGCGCCCCACCTGCTGAAGGTGGCCAGCTCCCCGCCCCTCACGTCCTGCCAGCGCCTCACTGCTCCATCGTAGCCAGCGCCTCGCTGCTCGCAGAAAGCCAGTGCCACTCAGTCTGTGAAGTGCCAGCGCCTCACGTCCTCCAACCAGCCAGCACCACAGCAACAAGCGTCCAGCATAGCGCCGCCCGCACGCCGCCATCGCCCCGTCGCCCACCTGCCGCCCAGTGCTAACGCACGCTTCGCATCAAGTGTCAAAAACTCTTGAACATGGAACAATTCCTGCAGAGACATGATCCTGGACGGTGGTGAGCATCCTTTTAGTGGGGTAGGGCGTTTAGCACCTTGTAGGGGGTAAGTGCAGCATAGGCGACTGTCTACATTGTAACACGAGAGGTAGGTTGGGTTTGTGCGGCCCGCACCCTTGGTCGACAGGCGAGGGGACCTGCCACACGGGTGCGAATCAGGGCAGTTCTTCAGTGGTCACAGGAAGAGGGGGGTTGGATTTGCGGGGACCATGCCCCTTGGTCGACAGGTGAGGGGCCCTGCCGCACTGGTGGCAGGGTGGTTCTGCAGTAGTCAAAGACAGTTTAGATGATGCAACCGTGAACGTGGGAATATAAACGGTACATTGAGCATTTTTATTTTTATTTTCCGTGTCTTTCGTGCAGGTAATCATCTTCCGGAGTTTTTCATTCTGCTAGGCGCCGTTCACCATCACAGATTATCATCTTTGTACTCGTCGCCGTCAACATCTCAAGTCTTCATCAGTGTGATCTTCATCGTTTTCTTCGTTCTCCCCTGGCTGCCATGCGGCTACTGGGGGTCTCTTCTGCATTGTCTTCGCTGTTATCCCCTGGCTGTCATGCGGCCACTGGGGGTGTCTTCTGTACTGGGGGAAGCATATCCTCGCTTTCCCTAATAAACAACCATCCCCCCCTCACCACCCTTTTCTAACACACCCGCTTGTCTCCTCTTCTACTTCTTACTCTACTGCTGCCTATCATACTTGATCTCCACTAACTACCAGGGTGGAGATGGTAAGAGCAAGGGGGAGGGTGGAAAGTATACGGAAAGGGGAGGGAGAAAAGTAGATGGGGTGGCGGAGAGGAGATGGGAACAGGGATGTTAGATTAGGTAGAAGGGGGAGTGTGGCCCCCCATTCTTTCTCATAACTAATTACACTTGGTTGCTTCTTATCAAAAAAGAAAAATGCACAATGAGTATTACGCCCTAAATTCCCTAATCCCCATCACGCTCATTAGGAGCGTGTAAATCTGAACAAATCTTTACCTTTTCTTATTTCTTTTTTTCTTTTTTAAAGGGGCCCAGTGCCCAAGGCTCCAATTATGAATTTGAGTACAAAGCGAACACACGCCTCTTCCCATTAGGGCTGGAAGAGCCTCAGCCATTGCTCCCGTAGAGACAGCTTCCCTACCTAGCACAAATATAGCACGAGCAAGGGCATTGATTGCTTCCCCAGTAAGGAAGGATTAACCCCGCTCTCTGCAACATCAAACTCCGCCCTGCTCAACTTATTTACGGCTACCTGGAGCATTCATGAGAAGTGGGGGGAGATCATAGCAGGGCAAAGAGGGTCTGGCATAGTGAAAAATCCCAGTCAAACCCTAAATAGTTCATCTGTAATTACGAACAGACAGTGTCTCCCCAGTGCAACACTCATAGGGGGAGAACACAAATCACAAGAAAATTTGAATATGTGTTTACAAGTTCTCTTACAGAATCATGGCAAAGCACACGTATGTGTGACCACATGGCCATGAGTAATAGGCCGACCTCAAGCAGAAACAGCCAAAAGCCAGCAAGTGACGCTCCCCACCAATAGATGGAGCTGCTCCCCGGGTGTTAGTGGTGTCTGCCTTTATCAGCATCACTAACACTGGCGGGTGCTTTTTTCTGCAAAAAAAAAAAAAGAAAAAGAAAAGAAAAAAGAAACAGCCAAAAGCCAGCAGGATACGTGCCTCCCTTCAGCAAAGTCAACTCAATCAACAATCTCGGAGGGAGAGCGCTAATTAGGCAGGAGCATGAAATCTGATATAAGTGCATCACCAATTGAAAGCATGCCCCCAACATAGAAACAAAAGAGGAGGTAGCGAGGCAGGGTTCAATCAGTCCACTTCCCACACTCCCCTCTCTAGAACCACGGCATACGCCTCCCCATCTCCCCCTCCATTCCACGGGAACGAGCCCTCCCCTCCTCGCCTGGCGTGCCTCTCCCCGCCACCACATCGGACTAGTTCCATCCGCTTCTGTGTGGAAGGCGCAGCAAAAGATCCGAGAAGCACAACACAACCATCCGTGAGGAGCCCTCACCTGTCCCCTGGCCCCATCTGTAGCACGGTTTCAAAAACACGTGAATCAGCCCCGCATGTAGGGAGAGCCTGCGGACACAGAGTCGTACTTACCGTGGTTGATATGAAAGGTGTAGTTGACCTCCTAGTTGTCATGATCGTTGTCAGCAAAGTCGCCGACATAGATTATTTAATTGTGACTGTAGACGCTTTACCTTCTTTTCTCCATCAACAGGCAGTATCACCGGGCTGTTCTCCTTTGATTAATTTTTCTTCCACGTTCTCTTCTTCAATTTGATGTCCTTGGCATCAAACTGTTCGTCACCTGTTCAACTAATCATCATCATCATCATCATCATCATCATCTGATCTGTGTAGTCTTACTCATGTTTTCTCTCCTTTCGTAATTCCACGCTTGATGTTGTACGCGCCCTCGCACAAAAACTTATGCTCCTGGGTTCATAGTTGGGAGAGCTTTAATCCGCAGGGGAAATACAAGGTGGGGGGTGTTTTCCTTTAGGGATTAACAGCAGACAAGTGGGACTGTTCCGCTCTGGGGCTGGGAGAGATGGAAGAAGGAACATCATTGGCTAGCGGTGGCAGAGCAGGACAGTGATAGCGCGAGGATACTTTTTGGGGGAACACGTTGCCTCGTGGGGAGTAGGGTAGAGGGGGGCTTGTCTCTTGCTGGGGCTGATGAACTGTCGTCAACACGGTGGTTCTAATTACCGGAGGCAGCGAGGGGAGAGGTGAGATGGTAGGAGGAATAAGAGGTGGAGGAGACTGGGGAGGGCGAAAAACGTCAAGAACCATCATCATCATCAACTTCTCAATTCTTATTTCCCTGTTCTTTTCTGTACTTGAGGCTGTAAAATTCCTTGCCAGAGGGTTGCTGATGTGGAGGGATGATGGATTGAGTGGGGAGAGCTCTTTTCAGCAGGGGAAACACAAGGTGGGAAGTGTTTGCCTATAGGGAATAAGGACGGACAAGGGGGACTGTTTAACTCTGGGGCTGGGAGAGATGGAAGGCGGAACATCATCTAGTACATCTACTAGTGGTGGCAGAGTCGGACACAGATAGCTTGAGGTAGGCTTTTTGGGGGAACAGCCTTCTTCGAGGGGAGTAGGGTAGAGAGAGGCTTTCGTATTGCTGGGGCTGTGAGGAACCACTAAACAACAGAGTGGTTCTGATTAGCGGAGGCAGCAAGGGAGAGGAGGGGTGGTAAGAGGGGAAAAGAGGAGAGGTGGACAGGGGAGGGTCAATCAACATCAAGTATCACCATCACCATCACCATCACCATCACCATCATCATCATCCACATCATCATCATCAGATTGGTTGTTTGCTCAAAATCCCACTGTTATCAGATCCGAATTCTTAGGTTCCATTTTAGTCTAGCTGATTTCCTAATTGAGGTTTTATTGTGTTTTTGTCCAGGTAGAGTAGAAACCAGAACAACGCTGGCCGGCGTTGGGGCATCGCCCTGTAACCTTCGTAGGAGCTTGAAGCCTTGGATAAAGATCTGGGGAGTGCTGAGGGTGAAAGGCAAGCACAATACTTTGACCAAAGGCTACAATATGGCCGACGAGGGTCGGCGATGGGGTGGGTGGAACTGCCCTGTAACCTAGCTAGATTGGGGTGTGAGACCCAGTAGAGGCTTGGTTGGTACACAGTATTGGCTCGGTAGAGACTGCCTGGTTGGTATGGACACCTAAGATTATGGTTAGGGTAGTATGTGAGATCTTAGTAGATAAGCATTATGAGTAGTCAGCATCAATCTCTAGCTTATTATCTCAATCATCGTGTTTCTGAATCATCCCAAATTTTCATCATCATCAATGTATTCCAATTATAAGGGACGTTGGGCCCGGTTCCCAACACGTGCTGTGAAGGCCAACATCAT